GCTACATATAATTAGCTAATTCATAACCTTAGAGCAAATTCAAATTAAACTAAACACCTCTGCACATGCCTTGTAAGATTAACCTCCACAAAAAAAATACACAAGGACATATTCTCAGATGTCTAATTGTAGAACCAAGGTCATACACAAAGCAACCTTGGTGCCAATCCCTTACTTGCTGAGTCTGGCTGATAAAGACCTGACTCCCTGTGCAAATCTCTCAGCAGCTTGTCTTACTGGGTACTGTGCTCCTGGCCTCAGGTCACACTCTTGTACACCAGGAACCTTGAGACCTGGCATTGCCATGGTTACTCATTGCCCTCAATTGTATCCTTTGTAGCTTTTTTTTTTTTTAATTAAAAAACTTTTGCTGTTAAGTTTGTAAATAGCCCGGTTGAACCAAGGAGAGCTGGGAGGAATTAGAACTTAGGAAGAATTAGAACTGTAGAAGAAGAATAAAGAGTATGACCCGGACAGTTCATTTGTGAATTTACTTACAGATAAGAAATGTTCCTAAACCCAGTGCTCTGAAAGGCATTCTTTCTGCTACCTTGAGAGCTAGTCTTTCAGGCTGCAGTATCAGCTTCATATCACCTATATTCCACTATTCCCCTCTCTAGATCTCCCCTCACACGGTCCTTTTTACTTTGCTGGTGTCTGCAATTACTTCCATTTATGATGCAAATCTGCAGATTTTAAGCTTGAAACAATAGATAAGAAAGAGCATGTGAAATTTGCCTTTCTGTGTCTGGATTATTATTGAAAGGTGTGTATAGACTTCAGTCATTTTGTTGTATTTCTACTATTTGTGATCTTAGTCATAACTTTCTGCTTCTGTAATTATTACTTCGTTTATTTTCTTTCTGTCTTTCTGGGCCTTGTTTATACATCTCTTCAGCCTGAAGTATTGCTTCAAGTATTCCCTGTATGGATGGTCTCATGGACGTGAATTCTTTTAGCCTGTTTGTATCACAGATAGTTTTCCTTTCTCCCTCATCCATGGCAGATAGTTTGGCTGGGTACTATTGTCTAGGTTGGCATGTAGAGTCTTTTAGAACTTGGCATACATTGCTCTAGTCTTTGCTAGCTTTCAAAGTTTCCATGAGAAATCATGTGCTGTTATGACAGATTTTCCTTTACATATAACTTGTATTTTTTTTCTTTTGCAGCTTTCAATACTCTTCCTTAGTTCGGCATGTTTAGTGTTTCAAGTATGATATTCTGTGGGGAGAATTTCTTTTGTTTTCTTGTTTGTTTGATGTTTATGTGGTTCTTGTATCTATATGGGCTTGCCTTTTCTTATTGAGGGAATTTCCTTCTATGATCTTTCTGAAGAGCATTCTATGGCATCTACCTGGGATTCTTCTCCTTCATCTGTGCCCATGATTTGAAGACACGGTTTTTTAAATTATTATTATGAATTATTGTTTGGTGTGTATGTGTTCTTTACCTGCATGTGTGTATGTATATCACATATGTGCCTGGTACCCAGAGAGGCAGGCAGAGGATGTCAGATCCCCTAAATTGGAGTTACAGATGGTTGTGAAACATCATATGTGTGCTTGGAATCAAACCCAGGTCCTCTGGAAGAGCAGTTGGCATTCTGAACTGTCAAGCCTTCTCTCTAGTTTTATAAACATGAGCCTTTTTATGGTGTCCCACAGTTCATGAATGTTCAATTTTTGTGTTTGAAAAATGTTTTTCATATCCATTGTTTTATCTTTGAACTCTGATATTCTGTCTTCTATTCACCCCATTCTATTTGTAAGGCTTCTCTTTGAGTTTTCTCAGTAGCTCATTAAACTTTTTAATTCTATCTTCATTTCAGCTTGAGTTATCTTCAATATGTCTATCTCCCTATTGAATTCAGTTTTTGAATCCTGGATTGTCTTTATCACTTCATTCAGCCTTATGTTTTGTTTTGTTGGGCATCACTCAAGCATTTATTTCATTTAAGGTAATTTTCTTTAAGATCATGGAGATGTTTGTGTCATTTTTAAAACTTCTTGAATTCTATAATGAAGTTTATGATTGTTCTTTGAAGTTCTATGTTCTGAGGTTCATCTAGGTAGTTCTGGATTGGGGGATGGGAGACACACTGTTTTGAACTTTCATATTGTTTGTGTTTTTGTGATTAGACTTGGGCATGTACACTTCTTTGACTGGTTGTGTGTTTTGTGATGATACAGTAGGCTGAGCTGGTACACAGGATTTCTCACATGGATGAAACTCAGAGGTTGGTCATGATACATATGGAACTGAGCAGTCTTGACTAGGTCACTGGTTGTGGATATGGGGTAGGTCTGGGTTTGAGGAGGGTAAAGGAAGAGTCAAGCACACTCAATATGCTGTCCCAGTATATAAGGCCTAGGCTGGGCTTGAGGTTGGATATCAACAGTAAGACTTCTCTAAAGAAAAATCCCCACCATGGCCCCAGTGAACAAGCTAATAAGTGGAGAGGCCCCATTCTCCAGTTTCTGCTTGCTGTGAGGATCACAGATCTCTCTTCTTAAGTTATGTCTTTGCAGAGTGTCAGATTGCACACCTGTGGATATCATTGAGACTTTTGTTTAAAGCCCCATCAAGGGACGTCTCCCCTCCCCTACTGTGCTGTCAGCAGCCAATGTTAGGATCCTTAGCTTCTTTTATGGCTTACAGTTTAGTGATTTGGGATTTCATCTGGCTCTGTTGTTTACTTTGGGACTCCCAACTCTGCATATTGCTCCCCTCACCTGGCAGCCACACACTTGATCCTTTGTTTCAGGTTCACAGTGATGCAGGAAAGTGCTGTGTGTCTCTAATAGATCATCTTCCTGCTCTTCCATGAGAACTATTAATCCAGTCTTACACATTTTATTGGAAGTCTCTTACAGGGAGGTGTGTATCTTATAAAACACCTTCAAGTTTAGTTTCATGTTTCTTTTTGAAATTTTCCTAAGGCCACTGTGCTTGTTCCCTTCATTCTTGTCTCTTGTCCTTTAGATTTTTTTGAGACAAAGTCTCCCTGTATGTCTCAGGCAGGCCTTAAGCTCACATTCTCTTGCTTCAGCCTCTTAAACCTGAATCCTTTCTGGGAATATAATCATGTGACACTATGATCACCTCTTTCTATAGTTTCACATTTACTGAGAAATAAGTGTTGTTATTATAGTCATGGACATGCACTCTTGCAGAAAACAGTTTGAGTCTAAGCATCTTACCATCATTCTGTTCCTTTTGCACTTCGTGACTGCAAAGGAAGGGCATGATCAAACCATGTTTTGTGTATGCTGATCCATGGCTCTTGAATGGGAAAAGGTCTTCAGTTATCAGCTCCTGCAAAGTCTCAAAGCTCATTGTGGGGCAGATTAGGAGGCACAGAGGTCCTTGAGCTCACAGATGTTACTAGAGGAACCTGCCGTGTGAAACATAGAGGGTTGGCCTTCAAAGCAAGGAATGCATAATCTGTTGTCTCCCCAGAGGGCTAGGAGCAGAAGTGGTGAATAGCCTGGTGACCTGTGTGCTATCTGTGTGGCCAGAGTCCTCAGCAATCCACCCTTCCAAACCCATTCACACTTAGCACAAGCTTGTTTTTCTCACCCAATATATTGAACTTATCTTTATGGAAGGTGTCCCATGTACTTTACAAAGAGTTTCAATGTTGTCACTTCTAATATTTATTTAGCTTACCTTGTGTCTCAAGGTGATATATGTATGCTTTATGGTGCACCACACAGGATTGGGGTAGAGGAAGAAGGGAGGCTGGTGGGTGGGACTGAGAGGAGAGGAGAGAGGGAGGGAGGCATTTGTGATCAGGCTGGGAACATTTACTTAGTAAACTAATGAATTAATTAATAAAAATAAATAAGAGTTAATATTCATCAGAAACGTTTTCACCAAATTTTGCTGCACTGAATTATGCCTAAAATATACTATTCATGATCAGGCTGCCAAAGTGTGAGCCAACATCTGGTCCTTACATCTCATCTCCACAGATCTTTACTCTGCCAGCTGTTGCGGTCTCACAGACTCCTACATGTCAGCTGTGTCCTGACTTATTTCTATGTGGACCCAGTTCAGTTCTGGCATAGATGTTCCCTGGGACTCAAGCTTTCATGACTATGTTAGAAATGGAGAGTGGGAGAAAGTGACAATGTTAGGGAAGAAGAGAGACGGAAGAAAGCAGAGAAATGGGGGAGGGGAATTTGAATCAGAAAGAAGGAAGGTGAATAAACCAGATCTAGAACTTTCACAGATCATTCTCTACACAATAGGACTTCACTCAAGAAAGGAGAAAAAAATTAGACAAACAAACAAGTTTCCTAGGTTTTATTTAGAGTTTAGGTACTGAACACAACTCCATCTCTCCTGGTCTAAATGCAAGTGAAGTTCTGTTTAGACACAAATGTGCACCTGGCACAAAATGGAATGAAGGATTTAAGGCCTTTCTAGGATCTGGCCAAGATAAATAGTCTGTCCAGGCCATCTGTAAAAGTTGAATATTGATTTGTATGAGGGTGTCTGGAGTAACAATAGTTAGAGCTATGCTGTATGAAAGAACCTCACTCAGATTTTCATGCAGACATTTCACAGGTGATTTTTTTCAGTGCAGGTGATGGTGTGTGATATCTATGGAGGAAGATAACATGGGCTGAGTGTGCACACACTTGCTCTCCTCACTTCCCACCTGACTTGGAGCACATGTCTCTTAAAAACACCTACTGAGTTCTCAAGGGCTTTACCTTTTCATGGTTAGGTTAGAAGAGTTTACAGCTTGAATATTTCTTTGGTCACTCTCATGAGCCCACAAGGTGGCAGTGTTTTCTTAGGGATCCTGAGCAAAGTGATCAAGTGAAAGAGAAGGGGGGAAGAGGGGAGGGGCAGGAAGAGGAGGAGGGGGTTCAGAAAGGGTTCTAGGAAAGGCTTGGTGCTGCTGAGGTGATGAAAGGAGTCACTTTTCTGATTGCTAACAAAGCTGCTTTTCATGTTTCCTTAAGAAGGAGATGTGGAAACTTTTGAATGTGACCCTATGAGTTTAGAGTTGAGAATCTGAATCTTCAGTGAAGAGGGAGGAAGAGAGGATGAAACCCTTGATTGTTTCTGTAGTGGTGCTGTGGCTTCAGTTAAACTGTAAGTTTGGGAATTCCTGTGGGATACCTGTGTGATATGTAAAGTTGTTGCTCACTAAAGCTGATGGTAGAAACACATACGTTTTTAATCTCTAGTTAGGGAGTGAGAGGCCTGTGAAAATCCATTCTGGGGTGTCTACATCCATATGCATCCAGTCCTGTTTGTCTGACCTTTGTCTTTCTGCACAGGGGTGAGCAGCCAGCAGAAGGTGCAACAGAACCAGGAATCCCTCAGTGTCCCAGAGGGAGCCATGGTCTCTCTCAACTGCACTTACAAGTGATCAAAATTCTCAGTACTTTTGGTGGTACAGGCAGCATTCTGGGAAAAGCCCCAAGGCACTGATGTCCATCTTCTCCAATGGTGAGAAGGAAGAAGGCAGATTCACAGTTCACCTCAACAAAGCCAGCCGGCATGTTTCCCTGCACATCAGAGACTCCCAGCCCAGTGACTCAGCTGTCTACCTTTGTGCAGTGAGCACACAGTGCCCCCCAGGCACCTGCAGCCTGCACCCAAACCTACTGGGCCTGTCAAGGCTTTAGATAGAGCACAGATCACAGGCTGGGGAAATTCTGTTTCTATTCTATCGGCAATGGGAATTAAAGGCAAGAGTAGAGAGGGCTTGATTGATTGGAAAAATATTTTGACATTTTGAAAATAACCAGTCCTAAAGGGAAAGACATACTATTGGTATGGCTAAAATAGATTCCATTCTTCTTCTCTTCTCTTCTCTTCTCTTCTCTTCTCTTCTCTTCTCTTCTCTTCTCTTCTCTTCTCTTCTCTTCTCTTCTCTTCTCTTCTCTG